GAATCTGAGTGTTGGGTCTCTGTTTCTTTCATTGCACTTTCTGTTAAAATAACTCTCGTGTCAAACACTGCGTACTTGGTTTATGTTTGTATTTAAAGAAAAAAATGTATGCTAAAGATTATGGATAAGAAACATTTAAGGTATCAGAGCATTTCTATTGGGAAGCTGAATCTTTGTTACGCTGAATGCTAAACATTTACATATCCAAGCCTTATGTAATGGATGTCTGAATAATAATAAAACTGCATAAACTGACCTTCATTCTCTGGCACCACATCTCCTTTGAAGTCTGCATGACCAAATTCAAGACAATTATGTCATCCTTCATAACAGCCAAACAAAAGTTTGGCCAAATAATCATTTTTCTCCATATAACAGCACTGTGTTTGATTTTGGTAATGTGTGTCAATGTAGCTGTTGTTATTTACTGGGTGTTACAAGTAACAGTAAAAATCCCCTTGTTTTAGATTAATGATCAGCCCTGGTAACATCTGGTTTTCATTTATTTTACCTCAGTGCCCACTTCTGCTATACTGAGTTGCCTTGCAATGTGCTATTCAAAGTAAGTATGGCCTAAAAACACACACACACGCAATATGCAGAACATGGTGTTACAGTATATGCCCATATGTGGCAGAAGCAAAACAGAGCCCTGGATAGAAGAAGGGAAATTGGCACTAATGTTTTCGCCCCTGTCCAAATCTACCAGTGCCACACTTCCAGTAAAATTCTCCACGTACAAGGCTGTCTGTGTCAGCTAAGGGTTGTCAGCAGAGACTCAGTTTGCACATTATTCAGCCTCAGACCTTGAGGAAACCTTGGCATACTGTCATCTCAGTCGTTGAGTCTCTGCCTATGTCACCAAGTGCTTTAAAACTTGTAGTTTATTCTCCCCTATCCACTGATTCAAGTGATCCTAGCCCAGGCCTGTGGGCAGTGACATGCTTATTCTTTTTTTACTTTCAAAATGAATTACAGATTGGGATGGAACATTTTGAAACTACCTTTATCATATAAAACTGGATTAATTTTTGCAGAGAACATTGTATAGATTCTCAAATACTGCTTTGAATGCAGTACTTGCATCTAACTCTGCATTCATATGTGATGCTTTTGGAAAGGATACAACTCCTGCTGATATAGCTGGATCAGTGGAAGTGTGATGTGTTTTGCCATGTAGTTGTACGTAAAGAGCAGCAAATCATCTAGGTTGTGTTTATAGCTGTTTTAAATTATTTTATCTGGATTCTCTACAGCACTTGTGGCTTCGCTTGATCGTGTTACATCATGGGTGCACACGTGCAGGTACATGCACACATTTGTGTACGTGTAGGTACACACATACCTTCATAATGAATATGCTTAATGTATGTGTGGTACTTCATCTGTTGCAAAAATTAAACTGCTAAAGGAAAAACACTTGCATTCTGAGTGTTAGAATTATGACTGAAGACAATAAAAACATGAAAAATTGAAGTTAAGAAGCAAATCATGAATGCAGTCCTGAGCTACAATAATATCTTTTTGTGCCCACTTGCAATTAACTCTTGATTTAATTCCTAAATGAGCTTCTAGTGCTTTGTTGGTTTAAATCATGATGTTGAGGATCTTTTCTTTATTTTACTTCAATTTGGTACTGTAGTGTAGACAAATGTAATACATAGAGTTTATGAAACCAGACAGCTAGTAAATCAATATTATTTTGCTAGTAAATTATTAAGCCAGTGCAAGCTTTTTCCCATGGGACAAAGAGTTTGAACTAGCTGGAGTTTAAATCAACACTGTGGGCACTGAATTAGTCAATGATTCTGCAGAAGGCTTTGTTGGCATAAACTTCTGCTTTGATCATCCTAGTATTTACAGCTTTTTAATTAGATACAGTTTAGAACAATGGCTTTTATCAAAGCAGTTTGGTAAGTGAACAACTGGACATTGTTTGGGGCTTTAGATGACATTCTGTCTGTTAATATCATGTGGCTGGTTTTAATACAATGATGAAGCTAGGATTATTTTAGGCATTGTCACTGCTTTGTCAAAACAAACTAGCTATTCTGAAAGAGAGAGTGACATGTATTGCTTTTTTAATATCATAAGTTTAATAATTTCTCAACGTATTAAAAAACGATCATTTGCCTTAGGATTACAGAGGACAAACTTTAATTTTACACTCATAAATTTGAAAGGAGTGACTCTTTTGTTCATCTTGACTTATTTTCACGTGCTGAGTGATTTGTTGGGAAGTGCTGAGCTCCTTTTTGTTCAAGATTGAAAGCGGTTCGTTCCATTTTCAGTGTCAGACATTTTAGAGTTGGCGTCTGATGTAAAGTAAACCCAAGGCAAGCGTGAAAATTCCTTGGGGATCTTGGCAGAGCAGGGTTCTATCGTTTCTGGAATGGTAGATTGGCCTAAGTATGCTTTTAAAGCTTTATAGTGAGTGTTTGTAAAATTCGTAAACTTAGGGGAGCAAGACACTTAAGGAGCCACTGATGTGTTTAGATGAACTTCTGCAGTTTATTGTTCAAATGAAGATAGCTTATCCTCTAATTAACAATGGTTTTTTTTTGACCAGCTTAAGTTTTTTGAGGAAGGGATGGAAAAGTTTGGAAATTGTCGATGTTTCTGTTAGCCATTTAACTATGGAGAGTAGTGCTATTATAGTAAATGTGTTTTAATGCCTTTAAAATGTGTTTGAGTAGTCCTTAGTTCCAGTTAAGTGTAGCTAAGTTTAACTATTTGCCATTTTGGTTTCTAAAATGATGCTTGTTCAACAGTTATACTTACAACTGGGGTGTGAACACACGCTAGGTGTAACAGCTCATTCACAGAAACGGGCCAGTTTACTCAAGTTCTGTGATCATGTATTTATATTTTTTTCTATAATATTTAGGAGAAAATCTTTTTCTACACAGCATGGTATAGTGTCATATTCCTTGTGTGGTACTATTTTGAAAACAGCTTTGTTTTTATTGTTTACCGTTTTCATTTCAAGCTTGGTAGGCTTTTATCTGAGTCAACTTTCTTCATGGCTGAAGATGAGCCGACTTTATCTGTACGTTTGAATTTAAAGAGAGTTGCATATTTTTTTCTCCTTGTACCATAAGATTTGAATTATACATCGCTCGCTTTCTAAGCACTTTTGTGAGGCATTTTGGAAGAAAACAGGACTGAATCTTGCTCTCATGAGCTTACTTAAGTTATTTCTTAGTAATCTGTATTTTCTCTAAACCGTGTTCGTCTGGTTTAGTATTAGGACACATACTAATCTCTTGCACTTCTCTGGATCTAGTCGCTCGTGTAAATCTTTTTAGCGCTTTAAGCATCTTTTTTTTTATTGGTACTTATTAAGACTTGAATGTTTACTTGGACACAGTTTATTTAGTATTTTTTTTATCTATTTGCCTTATCTTATTTGCCTACATGTAGCCCTTTGGTTGGTGTTTGCGTGCTTGTTTTCTGGGAGGAAGAGTAAAGATTCTGAAAACACCATGTGATTATGTTGTGCCTTCTTATGCTGTCAAAAATAAAATAGTAGTGTGAATGTAGTGCCTTTGTTTGTCTGAGATCTGCTTGGATGCCCGCTGAAGTCAATGGGAATAAAAAATTGGCTGTATAAATAGTTGTTTTAGTAAAGCTTGGATGATCTCTTCATGTTCTCTCATTTGCAATTGTATTGAGTCAGAGTAAATATCGGTTGATGTTCTCTGTCACTTGAGATAAATGACTCATGGCCTCGTTTTTATCCATGATAGGACTTTCATTCATAATGATGTTAATAGCTGTTACATTATTATGTTTGCAGTAGTTCACGTGCAAATTTTATCACCGTGGTGAGAGAAATTGGTGTTTTCATCTCATTCTTTGTGTAGCTTAGGGTTCCAAAAATCTGAATTTCTTTATGATAGGCCTATCATATACGTGACAGTTCTCAGGGAACCATTATGTTTGATGTTTTGTTACAGAAATCTGTCCGTGTTTTTTAAAGAGAGAAATATTAAAGGTTGCAGAGATAGAAAAATGAAAGTAGGATGTAAATGGAACAGTTGCTGAATGATTGTAGTGAAGTCAAAGAAATGTTTGGATGAATCCTGAACTTGATTTTTCTATGTTTTCTTCATCAAGAAAATCATAAACAAAAAAGAAGTATTCTCTTAAAGCAGAACGCTATTGAATAATTTAATTCATGTTACTTTTTAATACTAAACTGCTGTGTAAAGCTTCCATGTTCTAAAATCTTTTGAGAATTTTCTCTGGGAAATTTCAGATTTCTTAAACTGGATACAATGCAAGTGAAGAATGACATTTTTAAGGGGTCAAGCCGAATTTGGGATTTTGTCACAAATTTCCAGTTTTTATATTTGTGGTTCTGTTAACAATGTTTTTGAGGCCTGTGTAAGTGAATTTAAGCTTAAATCAGTGTTCAATTGCTGTAGCCTAAAAATCACTATTTAAACATTTTTCCTGATCTCTTCCTCAAATTAGTAACACTTTGTCACAAAGCTGTATTCTTGTTTGTTTTTTTTTTTTTTTCCCTGATTGCAATTCTGGGTATGCAGTTTACAAAAGATTTAGGTGTTTAACTTCTGCACTGTCCATGAGTGCAGGCACAATTGAGGAGGTAAAGAGATTTTAGTCCTCTCATTAGTCCTGAATAGAAAACTCCTTTGGTCAGGATTTTGGAAATCCCAGCTGCCTGCTCAGAGCGTGATGCCTGGTCTGGCTGCTTGAGATCAATTGTGTAGTTCCTACATATGTTGGGAATGACAGTGTGTTTCGACATAGCAGTCTTTCAGCAGAAGACAAGACACCAAATACACTGGATCTTCAAAGACTCTGCTTCCTTTCCTATGCAATTATTATATATTAAAATAGTAATTAAATTTGAGATACTATAAATAAGCAGGAAAGTAATATACTCAGCACTACTAATGCCAAGCAGTAAAACATGTACCAAATCAATTCATGCAGGTTTTTTTCTCCTCTTCATCCTCCATTTTTTTTAGACCTCCAGAATTACCCGCTCTGATGAAGATAAGGAAGGTTCCTGGGATGCCTGGGGGGCCTGGAGTGATTGCTCACGGACCTGTGGTGGGGGAGCCTCCTACTCGCTGAGGAGATGTTTAAATGGCAGGTAAGCGACATGCTTAGGTGCGTGTATTCTTCTGCAGCTCTACCCTATTTCCCCGTCCTCTGATGGGTCTACAGAGAAGCACTGTCGCATCTGTTTCTGGAGACAAGTGCTGCGTACAGATCAAGTGTTACAAAACTCTGCTTTTAATATATTTTTGTAATATATTAGATAAATATCTCAGCCTTCAACTCTGATAGAACTTCAGCATGCTATTAGATATGGTTGTGGAATAACAAGAATGATTTATTTAGTACAGTCCAATACTAAGAGAAATCCCTGTCACCATAACATAAAGCAAATGGTGAGTTACCTGCATACAAATTAGTCTGCCCTTGAACATCACTTGAAAATAATGTTCAAGTTCAGGCTCCTCCATGTCTTTCCTGTAGTAAAATAGAAGTGATTTACTCCACGTATAGATGTATCAAATGTTGCTTTCTGTTAGGAAACTCTTCCTCTGCCAGTTCTTTCCATGCAGCGGTCCTGGTGGCCACATGTTTTCATGGATAAGCCTCAGTGTAGCTTGAAGAGAACAGTCAATGTGGTGAAAACAATTTACCTCAGCAGTAAAGCTGAAATAATGTAAGGCTTGTTGCGACAATCCTAAAAATATGAGTAATGCAATAGGCCTGTAGTCAGGCAAGAAGAGATCCCAACCAGCTTAGAAGCATCTGTGCTGGCCTCCATATTTACTTGCTTTAGTGTAATTATTCTTAAACATTTTTAAAACTGCTGAGTATGTTTCAAATTCTATTTTGTAGAGTTTTTTAAGTTAAATGCAATGTTGCTCAGGAAGTCAATTTTTCTTAAAGAAGGCTCATAGTGTGATGCACTAGTTAAGTGCAAACTACATGAAACACACAAGTAAAGATGATTGATTAAAACACTGCCTGATTCTTTTAGTGCAAAACACACAAAGATCTTTGAAAAAAGTAATATTTCCAGCAAGAAGCTGTGATATTCTAGCAGTGTGTTAGAGACTGTGAAATGAGCTCAGTAAATTGTAGCAATATAAATTCTGCTGTGGTTTTATTAATATTTTTAATGTGTTCCTCTGGGAAAAACATGTGTTTTCCATACCTTGACAAATGTGTAGTTTGATTTTTTTTTTTCTGTGTTTTATTGTTGTTGTAATGTCCAGGAAATGCACAGTTGTGAAACAAAGTTTTCGCATTTGTGTGTATCATAAATATGTTTAACTTGCCCGTTGTGATGCAGTCATTCTTGCAAAAAATTTGAAATTTGAGATGTAATATTTTGAGCTTGGAGAGTTTTACCTTCAGCCGAGCTGGTTGAACTCTTGCTCCGGGCATCCATTGCTTTTTCCTTTCCAAATGGTGTTTTTCAATCTCACACATACTAAAGATTTTTTTAATATTTGCAATCAATTTGCATGCAAAAAGTAGAAAATTCAGTCCAAGAACTGTAGATTACTGGCCATACATTCATGTATTCTTTAATGTAAGGCAGGCCTTTCTAGTATGAAGGGGTTATTCCGAAACACTATTCCGGAGTTTAGAGACATCACTAACTATAATTTCCTGTCAAGTAATTTGAAATACGTTTTCAGTTCTTTCAAGGGTTTGATTTTGCCATTCTTAAGAAGTTCTTACCCAGAACAAAAGTGCCAGTCAGTTATTAATAAAAGTTTGGCAAACTGTGTCTCTAAAAAAAGTGTGAAACTGCACACCACTGTATTTATGAGACCACAATAAATAATCATGACTTCATTATGTGCCCGTTATTTCAGCTACTAACAACACACTTTGCTGAGAGTCGGAATTGCCTGGATTTCAGGATTCACATGCATTGAGCACCTTAGAAGCGCATGCAATCCATGAGAATTATATTTCATTTAAAATTATGAATTCTGCTCATGCAGCTTTGAGTTAGTAAAATGACATGTTGTTCTTCCAAACTTTTGCGTTGGTCTTTGAGAGAAAGGAAAAGCTTGAGGCTGTTTTTTCTTTCCTAAACAAAATAGGAGGAAGGAAAATTAATGCTCATTATCCCTATGCTTGATTAAAGCATTTCTTAGATATTCTGATTGTCTTCCTCTGGGTTACATCCCATGGATTAGAAGTAGCTGTGATGAAGTCAGCGTAGATGAGGCTTAGGGGTGCCTTGTGAAGTCTTTTTCTCAAAATAAATGTGTTTTTCATAAGGTTTGCAGTAAATTTGGCTTACATGGAACGCCACATGTTTTTTGCTGAAGAGAGACAACAGTGTAACCTGTTGAGTCCCCTGATGCCCTTCGTATTAAACCTTGTATTTTAAGTCCAAATTATAGTAGGGCAGTAGCAATAAAAGTCCAATTTTCAATAGAATAGCTGTAAAACAGGCAGGGTTGTGTTTTGCTGTTATGCAGTGTAACCATTTTTACTCTATTTTTCAGGAACTGTGAAGGTCGAAATATTCGATACAAAACCTGCAGTAGTAATGTGAGTCTGGCCTTTAATCCTATTTTACAGCTTCTTTCACTTATTCAAACAATGTGTTAAAGTGTAAGAAATGCTGCTTCTTGTTTAAAACCTTATGGTGCATAATTTTCTTCCATCATTACTACATTTTTTTAAAGATTTCAGTCTGCATGACACCATGAGGTCTCGAATTTAGGCTTCCCAAATGGACATTTGCTTTTGAAATTATAGTGCCAATTGTGATTCAGAACGTTCTATACCATTTATTAGGAAAGTTGCACGTTTTGGAGGATTAGCAAATCAGTTCTCATCTTAAACTAGCAAGTGCGTTTCCTGGGGGTGCTGTCTTTCAGTGAAGCATTAAACTGAGTTCCTGATCCTTTGTGATCATTAATGATACAGTGGCACTCTTCACGTAAGCAAAGAGGTTAACTGCCTGTGTCCCTTTCAAATCTTAAATTGGATAATTACTACTTATATTCCTCTGTTTGCCTAGGTCCAGATCTTTATATTTTTATATGTAAAAGCATGTACATTTAAGTACACTGGCACAGACGATTTCCATGACTGAATGTAAAACTGGAGATTCGACTATTCAGTTGTTGTTACTGTGATGCAATCGCATTTTATTTTTACAGACACGTTTTATGTAAAAACCAGTCACATACAGCACACTTCATGAGTTGTGCTCAACTGGTTTGTAGTGATGCTTTGTGCTGTTTAAACAGCTGCTGCCTCTCACCCCAGATGCTGTAGTTTGTTCAAGGTGGGCAGCTCGTGCAGGACTTTGTGATGCCGCTGATCAACAGACCACATGTACAAACGCAATAATTCAGGATGGTTTATGCTCAGCACTCACCCCTTGCACGAGTTACCTTACAGTACAAGGTGACATTCATACGATCCCATTCCAGAAAAGGGAGAAGGTAGATAAGTAAATAAAGAAAAAGCATCTTCCTCGCCCACAACCTCCCCTCACCCCCGTAGTACATTGGATTAAACTGCTTCTGGGAGAAAAGTGGCAATTTTCATGCAAATACCCCTTGAAAGGTGCAGTGTGCAGTTCCCTTGGGTTGAATTATACCCAGGCAAGAGCAGGTGATACTCATGTCATTGCCAACCCTGTGATTTCTGCCAGCAGCAGGCAGCTGTGAAGTATGACATGTTCTCCTTAGGAGGCCTGACACTGGAAGTTGCCCAGTAAATATGTTGAATCAGTGTATCTCCTGGGAGAATTGGCCATTCCCACTCTCCAGCTTGCCACACCTACAGCTTCTTGTGTGCCAGTTGGCTTCTCCCCTGCTCAAGAACAAGGCTTGCTAGCACCTTGAATTGCTCTAACACTCCGCTTCTCAGCATTGGATGGATTTTCCACCACAGCGGCTCACAGCCTAAGTTTCTGCTGGCAGAAACTAGTGGAAGTGATTAATGAATCAGGCCCAGCACATGCAAAAATCAGATTTGTGGAGTAAAATCTGTTTGCTACATTCCTTATCTAGATAGCTATTTGTATGCGTTGTATACAGTCATATACCTCTGATCCTGTGCACTGCAGCTTCCTGTGCGACAGTGCAACCAAGTCAGCGAAGCATACCTTCCTCCAGTGAGAGGAGGAGAAAACTACCAAGTGTACAGAAAAAGGAGACAGATGAGATCAGTTTGGGCATATTTTCGCCTCTAAGCAGAGGTCTACGTGCTTTTAGGGTATGTGAGAGCAATTGGTGGACACTGCTCATTTTAAGGATTACGCAGTAAAAATCTGATGGAAATGAAGGCACTCTATGCTTCACCATAGAGAAAATTGAGATGATTACCATTTCCTTTCTGAACTTCCAGGGAGTTTTTCTGAAGTCACAGGAGCCTGTTTTTTAACTTTAGGACTTTCTTTAAAGTGATAAGTGGCAAGCATCTTGTATATGAATCTGTTCGAATTTATGATGATTCGAATGTTAATTTCCAGACAGGAAGCTGCCTTTACAGTTCTGCTTTTGGGGCATGTCTGAAAGTGATCAGGTTTCCATTTCAGTTCAGATACAGCCAGAATCTCTCAGGAATGGTTTTTCCTAGATTATGGATCTGATAATGGGAGAACTCCTGAGAAAAATATATGTCATGAGATTTCCACTGTTAATACAGTTGATCTTTGAATTTGGCGTCACTGAATTCAAACCAGGTATTAGACCTGACTTAACCTCGAAATAGGAGCTTACACCTAGTGCAGACTTGGGACTACTAGGCCAGTTTTATTTCAAATGATACAATTTTCTCCAAAGCATTATTTCTAATGAGTGCTTCTCACTTCAGGAGTAAAATTTTAGTTTGAAAATTAAGAGTGTAAACTAGCTTCTTTCCATATTAGTAGGTATTATTGTTAACCACATGAGACATTCAGTATATATATGCTGTGTAAAATTGTCTGCAAATGTAATTTTGCTACATGATACATTACACCACTAACATCTATATTGGAGAGTACAAATGAAGCACAACTTAATACGTGTGTCATTCTAATGAAAAGAACAAGAATCATTTTACCAGAAAATTGGTTTCATCTGGATTCGTAATAGAATAGTAGTAAGTTCATTGAACTCAAGCATAGTTCCAGAGTAATATTAGTGATATTTCAATCAAAAAATTAATTCAAGGTCTTAGCAACAACATAATTGCTGAGAGTATTAAGGCATATGTATAGCCTGCTTATCTTTCTATCACAACTGAGATGCCAGGTGCATGATTTCCTAAAACTGCAGATTTTCTTATAGCAACTTTAAAGAAATACACTATATAAACTATTCATTATATGCTGTTCAATGAGATTTTCAGTCTTTTTTAACCTCTCTTCTTTTATGTTTCCATTTTTGTATATACTGTTACATTCTAATGCTATGATGTGCACTATATGGAAGTGTTTAAGATAATCCTTTAGGGTCCTATTCATAGAACAAGTTATTTGGGCCATTTCCCCATAAATTTCACATTCTTATGTGCCAAAAAGTCACTTATACATTTGCCAGAGTGACTCTTCTACAGTAAGAAAAAACACTATTTTGTAACTGATTTGCCGATGTTTCATTCCCTTATAAACTTATATTATATGCAGATAATGCTTGCCCTTGTTCAACATATTAATCGAATTATCATCCCAGCATCCACTTCTTCAACTCATTTATTATACTTAGAAATGAACTGTGTCTACTTCAGTCTATAATATTTCACCTTGAGTTGCAGAGTTTCTCTCTAATCTGTTCATTTATTTTATATTTATAATTCTGATGCACCCTATGGCTCTCATGGCTATGGTTTCTAGCTCGAGTATCTTGATTTTACTAAGAAGTGGCCTGAAAATTGCATAGGAAAAGCAAAGAACCTGAAGCTAATTTCAAAAAGAAAACAAAACAATGACTTCATCTGTTTTGGCTGGGTTTCAACAAAATGAGATTCAAAGAATAAAACTAGACAAAGGGCTAGACTTTCTTTGGTGTCATCATTTTTACTGGGAATTTTCTTGCCTTCTCTTTTGTGCTTTTTTCAGCGGAGTAATTGTTGGCAGGAGTCACAGGGTCTGATGCAACCTTCATATTTTGTACATGAACATTGCCTGCAAAGATACAGATTTCCCAGGTTAGCTTTGTTTTCAAAGGCTAAGAATGCTCACTGCCAGAACTAAACCGATACATTTCATAAGAAGCCAGCCCTCAAACGCAGTAGTTTTTAATCATCTGTCACAAAAAGAATGGGAGCGTATACATATACATATTTTTAACCTGCATGGTAGTCATGTCTGAAGTATCTTTTTCAGATCTGTCTACTAAAATGTTCATAAGTCATGTCATAAATACACTTCATTCCACTAGAAGATCTGCATGTGATTATTTTGCCAACATTTTCATGTATTAGACCTCATAGATATGTCTTCAGCTCTTTATAAAGTGTATGAACCTATGAACGGCCTGGCTCTGGTTCAGCGAATTGAGTGTAAGAGAAAAAGCTATTGCTGAAATTAGGAAATCTGAAAAATCCTGAAATTAGTAGCAAAACTATTTAACAAACAAGAAAAAAATGTAGAATACACCCTTGCATACCTCTCCCACATTTTGCCCCCACCCTTTTCCTTTCTATTTTTTTTAAACTCCCATTCACGTTTCTGACTCACTCCAATGGAATTAACCTGAAGTATACAAGTTGTCTTGTTGTCTTGATTACATTCCTTTCTGTGCTTAGTTGTCTTTCTACTTAGATTATAAACTCCTTTATACAAATACTTATTGTTGCCAGGAAAACAGGGCTCTGAACTTGGTTGCCATCCAAATTCTGATATAATGCAAATGATAATAATTTCAGCCCTTTGATATCCCTTTGTGATGCTCTTTTTATGCTCCTGCTTTTGAACACAGCTCAAACATAAAGCAGGTGGAGCTGGCATATGAATCAGGCTGCCAGGATCGTTTTGTGTTTTCTGAAGATGCCGAAAGAGAATAGGGAGATGAGAATTCGCTTGCTCTCAAGCTGCCAGGAATCGAGTGGAAGGAAGGAGCTGCATTGTGTTCAATCAATGAGAGACATACAGTAACCATGGGTTGACATCCTGACATTGTGGTGTTTGTGTCTTGGCATTGCATCAACACCAAGTGATACGGAATTGTAACAACAGCCTGTCAAAACTCAGCCTAAGGCGGTCGCTCTGCCTGTTTTACAGATAGCTCTTTAATTCTTTGGGATGAAAATGTAGCTGTGCATGGCCGAATAACGCTACTCCAAAATATTGCTTCTAACTTTACCTGAATCTAACTTCCACTTATTTTTATCCTTAGCTACTCCTCTATTTGCAAGGGTGGAAGGGAACCATATGGTATCCATATGAACTCTGAAGTCCTCTCTGCTTTTTAGACTTGCTATTGTGGAAAATGAGAGGTGACAGATAAGTCAGAGCCAAATTCTGCTCTCATTTACACCAGTGCAAACTTGGTGAATTTCTTGGGAGTGACACGGCAGTAAATAAGGGTGGTTTGTAACAGTATTTGCTTGATGTTTTCAGAAGCTCTCACTTGTGGGATTTTGCAGAGGTAAAACTCTCAAAGAATTACAGTGACTGTAATTTCTCCTTGTCTTCTTTCATCATTTTATAGTTTTTTTAAAAAAAAAAATGACTCAAACTAGAATTAAAAATAATACAAAATATATTAGCATCATTCTCAGTCATTCTTACTGTAAGATGTAGCACTGATCAGAGTTGAAAAATGTTGCTGGGAATGCTCAGTGAATTGCCTGGTGCTCAGTTGCAAAATCCCACTTGTTGATCAGTAGAGAGAATACTGATTTTAGAAGTATTTTATGCAGACTACAAATAAATCAGAGACATTTCTAGGTTGCTGTTTTCTATCGTGAAAAAAAAAAAAATCTAAGGCATTGACAAAGTGTTAAGCCAATGAGCAGTGTCAAATCATCTAGATTCATGTGAGCACAGTGGTGTCCGGACAACGTTATTGAGGGCATTGAACTGGAATTCGAACCTTTCTCTTCTATGTTTGAATCTCCAGTACTGTATAAGGCACTTAGAATTTCATTACCTTTTTTCAGGGAAGGTTCAGTTCACTGATAAGGTTGAAGCTGTGTTTAGAATTAGTATTGTTAACTAGTACTTATTACTAAGTTCCATGAGTTCAGCTGACATATCACAATCTTTCAGTCTTAGATTCAATGAAAACAAAACTTTGTTAAAATCAGCCTCACATCTGGCTCGTATATGCAGTTAGAATTCTTGGAAGAATATCCTTTCGGTCTGGTGTATGGACTGTTCGACACTGGACATACTTTCAAATGAAGTCTTCAGTGATAAATTGTTTGACATACTGTAACTCCTTTGTCCATACTTTACCAAAGTTATTTTTGAATAAATCAGTGTTCATCTCCACTCCTGTCACTGTAGTTTAATATTAACATCATTAGTTGGGTGCAATGCTTTATGTAGAAAAAATATTTTTGAATATTTTGTTTCAAAGAGTTCTCATATTTGGTCTTTCAACTGTATATGCTGAGGCTCTGTATGGGAGGAGGGTAGGGAACTCTCATTAGAACTGGAACTATATAATCAATAGTTACCAATTTGAAGTATGTTGTATTTCAGCAAATTAAGCTTTATTACTTCCATGATGTGAAGGTGTTTTGTAGTTAGACTGAAGGACTAAGCACTGGAAGTTCTAGTGTCTCCTCCTAATGACCTTGTCCTCTTTTTGAGAAATACTGAACAGTTGATTAGACAAATTTTTATTTCTTTATGTATAAGTAGCAATAATACCTCTTTCATTACTGTGACATACGAAGTCATAAATGAGTGCAGAGTCCTCAGAAATCCTTAAGTGGAAAGAAACTATTGTAAAGAGAAATATTATATGTCAGACATCTCATTATAGTCACTTAAAATAAATAGATTCCTTTAGAAGCTAATTCTTATTACAGAACCAGACTTTAAATGTACTACATAGTCATAAAAAGTAGCGTTTTTAATTATCTTCTCATATCAGTTATGTTGTTATTACTGGAATATGCATGATCTTGTATTACTTGCACTACAAGCAATGGATTAAGCAACATAAATTGTTTTAATACACACAGTAAAACTTCGCAATAGGGCATGTTTGTCACAGCCGATGGGTTCTTGAACCAAGCCTCCCTGAATAGATTCTGTGTATTCATCAGATAACTTCATTGCAAAGGCAAAGTATTCCCTTCTTAAAAAAAATTTCCTTTGGTTTGTTTTTAGGACTGCCCTTCAGATGTTGGTGACTTCAGAGCACAACAGTGTTCAGCCTACAATGATGTCAAATACCAGGGACATTTTTATGAGTGGATTCCTGTGTATAACGATCCTACTGCACCGTGTGCCCTGAAATGTCAAGCTCTGGGAAAGAACTTGATTGTGGAGCTTGCCCCAAAAGTACTAGACGGTACTCGTTGCAATGTTGAATCCTTGGACATGTGCATCAGTGGAATATGCCAGGTATGTTCATGGCATGACCGTTGTTGTGAAACACTTTACACCTTAAGTGAGCACTCTTTGATTATTTTTCATTTTCGTGTATCAGTTTATTTTAGATGTATCTGCAAGTATTGTCAAATGACTTGTAGATAACTTACCTTTCTCTCACACACAGAAGTTCCTGACTGCCTTAGCTATTGATAACTTATAAGGTCAATAAGATTCACTCTTCTATTTATACATGTAAAAATTAGTGAAAACAGTTATAGCTTTCTAACCTCTAGTATGTTTGTCAGGGTGTGACGAAGTTACATGGCCTTCAGTTTCATTTTACTCCCTCTCCGAGTCTTGTATCTCATGGGATCCAGCCCAGAATGGCAGGTGCGGATGTGTATGTCTGTTGTATGTGTTGCTCTCACCTCTTCATTCCATTAAGAAGTTCCTAGTCCATGCAATGAATATGCCTACAGTGTAAAACTTTTTCAACAAGATAAATTCCTTACCTTTCAACAAGGCAAGTGCTGAATCTTAAATTCCTGAGATTCCTGTGATATGTTCACAAATTATAGATTTGAGTTTTATAGTAGAGGACCCGCCTCTGATGAAACCATTAAAAATAACAAACAAGGCTCTCACAGCTACCAAACTCTTGGCTAACATGCTTGCATCTGGGAAGTCCTTTGATGGAAGAGGCATTCTCGGGCTTTTAGGATCCAGCCACTTAAGCTAGACATTCATGTGAACCTGAAAATTGAGGTCAGAAGCTTGAAGTACCAGAACAGAATTGATTGGCGAATGGATAACACTTCACATAGAACCAGATGAAGCTTCTTCATTGCCTTGTTTTCATCTCCAGGTTCAACACCTTGTCAGGAGGTGTTGCATCTTTATGGGCTGACCTGACCCGGATTGGGCAACCTAGCTTCCTGATAAACTTGAGGCAAAGACAGAGAGTTCTAGCGCTTTTTTTTTTTTAATGGACCAGCAAAAGATCTCAGTACTTTGTGCTGCCTTAATAACTGGAGAACAGAAATGCGTGAGAGAGGACAATGTCGTAGTTCTTCAGTACTCTTGTCCTGAGTATCATAATTTTTCATTTTTCCTAGTTGCAGTTCTAGGCAGCTGAAATTCATTCAGCTGGCTGTCCTACCCAGGCTATTCTCTTCATCTACTTAGTCTCGGTATCACCACCTTTTCTGCCTCAGCTGAAATGCTTTGGGCACTTAGATGCAGATATGGGACTTATCCTTGCACAGACAAGGTTCAGGTACAATGTGCTCTGCGTGCCGGGCTATAAGAGGCCTTTGCAGGTAATATCAATGCCTTAACATAATGACTTTTTGAACCAGTTTCAGACTCATAACTTGGAACCAGTTGTTCCGAGTACCCGTCACTCAGAGTGATAAACAGTATACAGGGTGAATGAGCGTGTGTTGTAACTGAGTGAATTGATTGCTGGTACCTTTGTACCGGGAATCTACATTTCTAGATGTTTATTATTAGAGTTAAGCTATCGACTTTACGTAGTTGGTATAAAAAAGGAGAGTTAAAATATTTCAGGCTTGCCAGCTTTGCCCATGTCTCATTAGCAAAGAAATATTGTAATCTTAAATTTTATAAACAGAACTATTATATAGAATGGATATGTTATTGCAATTAATTTTCTTTCTCTGCAAGTGGTTGTTGCTCTGTTAAATTCCTAAAATGTGTGAGATTCAAAAATGCAGGGTATGGCCCAGTGAGCAAAATAGCTCCATTATAGGGGAAAATGTGACACATTTGGCAGAAGACTGGTGCACGGATTACAGCAACATTAATATATGATCTGGACCTTGCTATGGGTTTTATGTGACTTCTATGTATACTGCAGTTCCAATACCAGTCGTGCCAACACACAATGCATGTGCTGCCTCTGAAATAGGAGAAGAATTCCTTACAGTTTTTCCCTTCAAGGGACCGCATTTGTCAATAGTACTTCACAGGGGTATCCAACAGTGTTCATTACCCTGCGTGTTTAAAATAGGATATACCTCTAAAGACTGTGAAAGCACTTGCCAAATAATGTTTTTTTTGCAATATTCTTAGTGATGTCTCCTCTTCTAATGCAAGCTTTTACTTTCATCCTGGAGGATGTCAAAGCCTTTTCTGGGCACTATATCTACAGCATCCTTTGCTGTTTGTGTCCATTGCAGCACATGAGTGTCACATTGAATCTAATGGAGCTCTGGATTTTTCAGAGGTTTGTGAGACTTTTGCTCAGTTTTGCTTGGAAATGTAAATAATCCATTTATAGAGTAAATCAAGTAGTGGCAGAAGAAATTAATCATTCCAGAAGCAGGCACTGTGGAACTCTTTTACACTGTCGATGACAATCAATTTCTTTTCTCCATCTCTTCCTTTTTTCTTTTTTTTTTTTTCATTATTTTTAATTCCACAATATTATTTTTCAGTGTGAGAGAACACATTCAGGGGAAAAAAGAAGAAAACACAACCATGTTTAGGATGTGTCCTGTGCTGTGACTTATGCAATTTACTTAATTTATAACTTAACCTCATAAGCTGTTAGGTGCTTTCATTTTATTTTCTTTAAGTCACTTGCTATTGTTGAGGTATTTTTGCACAACTGGAAAATTTCTCCTTTTTTAAAATCTGTATTTGATAATTTAGTGTTAGACAGTTTTATTGAGGTAAAGATGGGTATCTGGTCATTTGAATAACATTTTTTTATTTGCAGACTGTTTTGGGGGCAGAGTGGAAAGGTTGATTACTTGTGAAAGAGATGCAAGAGGTGAGGGACTTCCTCAGAAACCAACACTGAGCTTTGTTGTCACTCCTGTTTAATCAGGAAAAGAAAGCAAATTGACATCTAATCTTTCCTGGAAAAATACGGTTATTTAGTCAACTGCTGTTAAGAGAGAGACAGCAAAATTGTGATTCTCTGCAATTGCTGCTGTAAGATCAATCTGTTAGATTCTGACATATACTTGGCACAACTTGCAAATAACTTGGCCAGTGTTTTTACAGTTAACTCATCTAAATAAACATGTCATACTGCTGATGTGGATATCTTTGCTTTTATGCCTGCGAGCACCAAAGAGTGAGTATAAGGAGACTGGCTTGCCTGAGTCCCTTTCCAACTGGTGCTGGTTTTGCTCATTTATTGTCTCAAAGTTGGCAGGTTTTATAAGATCTCAGGTTCTCCCTCACCCCTGATTTCACTTTTTCACTTTCATCTGTTTTCTTGGTAAGGTAGGGCTGCGTCACTAATTCTGCCTCTTGAATTCTTGTTCCGACTCTCTCCTTGGCAGCATATGAATTTACGAGAACAGTGAGTTCCCATTGTCCAACTTTAGTTCTGATTCTTTGCACTTCCCTTAACAAGCAGTATCAAAGTAAGTAACTCTCTGTCAAAGCAAATCGTGAGATGCCAAAACTGCTCTCTGGATAAGGGGTGTGAGGCTTCAGGGGAAGTAAAATCTAAAGATGACGGAGCAAGGAAAGGTTTATTGGGAAAGTTAATAGGATATTTTGGGGTTGCTCGAGGCTTGACTCAGCCAAACCATTTGATCATGTTTTAGTCTGCTACTACTGTGCTTCTGTTACCAAAGCAAATATCTGGGGCTGTTGTGTTAAACGGGGACAGGTCAAAACTTCACTGCTGGGAGGATTTTCACACTCAACTTCTGATATTTTTTTCTAGTCACTGCACGACTCCCAACACATTTTTTTCATATAATTCCTGCTGTGCCCATCTGGATGTGGGTGGAGACATTTAAAAACATCTGCGTGTCAGACGTGTGGGCAACATTTACCCAGTTACTCTGCCTACTTTGGGGCCCTGCCTCTCCTTGTTTTTTGTTTTTCAGTTCATTCAGACCTGTTTTTTCTACCAGAATGCAGAATGGGGTGTTACTTGTGTCAGTACCTGAAATGGTTACAGTGCTAATTTTCCTAATATGGAGTAATGTGTTTGGACAATAAATACACGCATCACCCAAAAAATCTGGAGTCCTAAGGAGCAGCCTGAGTAGTTCTGTCCTAGGCTGTCACAATTAGGTCAAAGATGATGTAAATCCTGTGGTGAACTTTCCACTTAGTGTCAGCAAGTTGTTTGTGTTCCAAAAAAGGCAGACGCTACACTATGCTCTGTAGCATATGGCATAAATTTAGCTGACATCAGAACACATCCCATATGTCAAGTGGAGTGCCATCAACTTCTGCCACACTGGTTCTTTTCTGTCACGTGTCACAATATGGCAAGTAGGTATCTCTCTCACTCGCCGCTAAAGCACTCTTACTCTTGATGTAAATATCTGTCAGAGTTTTAATTGAAAACAGTTTCTGTAAGCTATTGGAAGCTGTTGCACTTTTGTTTTAATGGGCTTTGCTTGTGCTTAAAACTTAAAATCATAGCAGATTATTAATTTCTTCTGAATCTTGACTCCTTTTGTTCTGAGAGTTGCTTTCTCGAAGTGCCAGTTTAAGGTGTTTTGTGTACTTTCCCTTTGGGTTCCTGTAGATGTATCTTTTTGCCTGTAAATGTGTTAAAGAACTGCCCAAGATGCACAGGAGGTTTGATGTTCAGTTGCTTAGAAAGGCATGTTTCCTTCCCATCCAGTGTTACTGCAGACATAAAGCTGTTTCTTGCACATATTAGTCAGTAGTTAATTCTTGAATAACAGTAACCCCCCCCCCCCTTTTTTTCTACCAAATGAGCATTTGAAATCTTTTTTTTTTAATATTTAAAAATAAGAAAAAAAAGTCCACATTGCCTTTTTCTCCTTTTTAGCCTTCAAACCTCAAGTAACTTATTCATGGGAGGAATTGATTTTGAGGTAGTTTTGTGTTAAGTCAGCCTTTATACTGAACCTGGCGTTCTTTCCTGGGTGCGATTAATTAGCCAACGCACAGAGTAAAGTACTTTTTGGAGCATGGAGGAATCCCTGTGTCCTGTCTACATGTTGCTACAGGCACCAGAGTTGGCAGGCTGGACCTTATCCAGACTATGTGAGTTATTCATG